TGAAAATGTAGAAGAGAAGATTGAGTGTTAACTGGGATTATAGTCATTCATCGTAGTTCTTTTAATTGGGTTGCCTTCATCTAGGCCAAGTTTTCTTTTCATACTGGAGACATTGAATTGAGGAGTTCTTCCATATCTTTCAACAACAAATATTCCAGTAAATACAAAGAACCACAAATCAAAGAAGGTACACCTGTGCAAAATCAGTTACCAACATTGAATTGTAACCATTTGAACTGTTATATTTTCAAATACTCCCTAAATCTGCACTTTTGAAAGTGATACTGTATTATTTATGATAGTAGGAATCAAAAAAGCAAAGATTAAATTATTAGTTCAATAAATAAAATAATATTTGAATAAAAAATTATATCATCAGTGTCATTGCAAAGTAGATATCCATCTTCCATCCTCAAGCTTTTTCAAGTTATCCAGCCACCATATTCTCCAATCTCCCTTGATTCTACAGAAGAAGCATGGCGTGGATCGAAGTTGTGAAGCCTGCCACTGCCTTTGACGCAAAAATATTATACTCCGAGAGGCCCAGATTTACGAAGAATAAATAAAAATTTGAATTCAAAAAAAAAAACTTACCGGCTGCTAAACTCGAAGGCAAAGAGACCAATGGATGAAACCCTAGTTCCGGAAGAACCTTGCGGCGGACTCCGTCGAAGAAGACAACAACCGCCACATCTCTGTTGAAGCAGCGAAGATCTGAGAGGAATCCGGCGCAAGCATCAATTGCATAATTTTCGGAACCTTACGGCGTAAACTTTGCTGTAGTTATCGCGGAGTTTGCGTCTAGCGTACGACATAAGTTTTGAGCTTCATCCCATTTGGCAGTGACCCGGCCCAATAACTTTAGGCGGGAAACTAAGATTTTGGCTAAAAACTCAAGTTTTCGTATAATCCAGTGATCCGATCTAAAAAATCGAATATCTGAATATTTTTCGGATCGGATCGATCCGATTGAACACCCCTAGAATGGGAGTGTTTTATTGGACGAAAAAAAGGTATATTATTGATTTAAAAAAATGATATGGCACACCAAATTCTTCCAAACCATATACGGAGTATTTTTTATATTAAAGATAGAAAATTTGAAAAAGAAAGGGCATGGGCCGTTAAACCATGGATATTATGGGTCCAAAAGCACTTGCGAACTCCTAGGCTTTAGATCGAGGCTTTAAATCTTCACTCTATCATTACAATCTCATTTGAAATGAGTTTGAAGTTCAGAAAAATTTGAAATTTGACTAAATTCAACTAAAAATGCGAGTTTGTGATTGGATACACAGAAAAGGAATTATACTCCCTCAGTACTTAAATAAAATTCTATTTTTGATCTTTTGAGGATTTAAGTGAGTGACATTTTTGTGTTGACTTTCCAAAAATACCCTTGATGTGATGTGTAAAAATAAGATGTGATAGATAGATTATTAGTAAAAAGGTATGATGTGATAGATAGGGTATGAAAAAATAAGGGGTAAAAGAAGTTTTTTAAAGGAAAAGAGAAGTTTATTTAGGAACAAAAAAAAACAAAAGAGAAACTTTATTTAGGGACGGAGGAAATATATGATAACCAACCCGATCAAACTTAAACTTGTGTTTGTAGGCCTAAGAATAGTGTGATAAATAACAATCACAAATTAATTACATACAAACGATAATCGTTTGTGAACACAAATAATTATCATATGTGTATGAGGTAACCATGGTAAATTCCTTGCATGATCATTTATAAACTTGAATTTTTGTTCATCTTCCTAACTATTTCAGATTCCTACTAAATTCAAATCTAAATATAATTAACAATAAATATGTACAACATAAAAAAAAGACTGCAAATATTGACAGGAGGAGAACACCTTTGTATTGAAATGGAAGGGAAACTAACGTACGCAGGCCTATCAGTAGCTCTTTTGATTATAAATGTATACAAATTTAAAAATAATATTGAAAGATTACATCTACACTCTACAAAGAAATGACATTATTATATTATTCTAATATAGGACTAAGAAAAATAGTTAGAAAGCAATTAAAATTTGAACATAAAAATAGTACGAGTAATTGAGAAGAAAGTGTTCGGAAGAGCGGAGTACTATTTCGGGGCAGGTGGGCCGTGGCCTCAGTACCTACTATGGCAATCCATTGGGCTGTGGGCTTTGGCCGCCGATCTTCCCGGTTTTCCCGATCGGGATTATACACTTTGGCCTTCTATCTATTATGGGTTGGACCGTGCCAATATTTTATATTTGGGTCATTGTGCCCATCAATCAACTAAACATTGACCCAAAATAAAGTAGGAGTAAAAATAATTTTTTAATTCAAAAAGAAAAGGATTATGTGGAATACCAAAATAAAGAAAGGACAAAAAGTA